GATAGCAGTATAGTACTCAGAGTTAGGCTGCACGTCTCCCCGAGTTGTGAAACAGAAAAATATGGCCATGAGTCTTGCAGGACTCTAAACCAAGAATTTCTGTTCTGGCAATTTCCAAGAGCAATTTGCACAACCGCATGATAATCTAGACTTCAAAACACTGGAACCATAACTCTTAAAAGAGATTGTCATATTATAGCGACTAGATACGGGGTTTGGATTGATAACTGAATTTATTAAATGCTTATAACTCATAAGTAAAAATAACTATTACATCGTCACTGATTTACACTACAGAACAGCAAAACTATGGCACACAAAGTCTTCTGTTTTTCATTCTTTCATTACTAGTCATTTCTTGGTAGTGGCTACTAACATTTGAACTGACGACTCTTGGAACTATTGCACATGATTTCCTTAGGCCAGCTGAAGTTTTACATAAAAAACATGGGATGGTCTGAAACAATTTCTTTCAAGACAGCACATATATGTTGCTGACTTTGTAGATTAGACAGCTTAATGTTCTCTCCCTCCAGGTACACACGAGCCCTCTTAGCAGCAAGATGTGCATAATATGTAGGTGCTGGATAGGACACACTGCGTGTACAACGTGAGAACATATGACATAAGTAGTATGCAATCTTTTCAATTTCATTTTCTGNCTCACTGTTCAAAACCTGTGCGAACTGTCCGTCACCTACACCATCTCGAAAAAATATTATCCTCTCTGGTTTGCAAGCAGACGTCTTTCTATAAAAGAACAGAAGCTGCTGTCTCATGATATTTTCCAGGTCTTCAATGATCTCTACCTGCGGAGGTTGTAACCTAATCTGGATGTTGTACTTGAAAGCCTTTGGATCACGGCTGGCAGTTACAGCAACAACTGAAGGAATGCTAAGCTGATCAGGCGATGGATGGGTCACATCAGCACCTACTATCATAACTGGGCGAAATAAACATGGCGGTTTGATACTGAAGCAAATGTGTGTTTTATACCGTTCAGTTTTGAGTTGATTTTCAATAGAATGTTGGAA